AGGCATCTCCACAATTTTCAGAATCCACCTCAAAAGATCCATAGGAGTTATAATCTAGTCTAATTTAAGATTCCACTAAGTTTCGTGTTTTTTTTCCCCCCTTTCTACTCTGAAGCCATCCATGTTCTCTTCCTATTGTTCTATTTTTTTTTTAATTTTTAATTGGAGGATAACTGTTTTACAGTATTGTGTTAGTTTGTTTTCATGACAATCAAGAATACAGAATCTTTTGCTCTTATCAGGAAAGCAGACCACTGGATTGTCCCTTGTAAAGCGGTTACCCTCATGATTTTTATACCTAGACCTAAAGTTGTATTACTGCCGCTAAGCAACAGGGCTGAAAGCCTGGTGTGAGAGAGACAGGGCAGCAGCTTACAGAAGACCTCACCCAAACTCCACTGGTCACAGGGCCTTTCCCTTCCTGACTATGGAATGGGATGTCTATGGAATGCTTCCAGCTTCTTTTAGGGAAGGAAGCATTTCTTGTTTATTTGGGAAAGGAACCAACATGCTCCATATAGCTACAGACCTCCCTCCATCCTTAGACTTCAGGAGTATGGGGTTGGGGGGTGGAAGCTTTGTCTTGAGATTCATTTCAGAACTTTAAGAAGTCTTATAGTTGGGAGTTGTGAATCTCCACCTCTCTGCAACAGACAGAATGAGCAAATAAAAATCAGCACGATTACAGAAGATCTGAACAACAAAATAAATAGGATTTGACTGAAATGTAGAGAACATTCCACCTAATGATAACAGAATACTCATTTATTCCAAGTGCTTAAAGGGACATTCACTGAGAGAGACCATATCCTGGGCTATAAAACCAACCTCAACAATTTTATAAGAACTGAAATCAGTTATAGTTTTTGACAAAAATGAAATCAGTCTAGAATCAATAACAGAAATACACAGGGAAATCTCCAAACACTTGCATATTAAACAACACACTTCTAAATAAACCATGGGCCAAAGAGGAAATCTCCAAGAAAAGAAAAAATACATATAAATGAATGAAAATATGACATATAAAAATATGTGGGACACAGCCAAAGTAAACTTGACAATGAAACTTAGAACATTAAAATCTTACATTAGAAAAGAGCAAAGGTTTTAAAATCAATAATCCAACTTCCTACCTCAAGAAACTATAAAAAGTAGACCAAAATAGGACTAAAATAAGCAAAAGGAAGAAAATAAGAGCAGAAATCAATAAAATTGAAAATAAAAAAGAGAACATTAATGAAACAAAGAGGTAGTTCTTTGAGAAGATCAATAAAATCGATACATTTAGCAAGATTGTCTGATTCTTTGAGACCCTGTGGAGGGTAGCCTGCCTGCCAGGCTCCTCTGTCCATGGAATTTTCCAGGCAAGAATACTGGAGTGGGTTGCCATTTCCTCCTCCAGGGGATCTTCCAGACTCAGGAACTGAACCCAAGTCTCCTGCATTATGTGTAGACTCTTTCTCAGTTGAGCCACCAGGGAAGCTCTTATGAAAATTAAGAGAATTTAAAAATTATCATTATCAAGGTGGAAGAAGCTATCACATACTCTGCAGCTATTAAAATAATAATAAAGGAGGGACTTCCCTAGTGGTTCACTGGTTAAGAATCTGCCTTGCAATGCAGAGGATGCAGGTTCAATCCCTGGTTGGAAGCTAAGATTCCACATGCCACAGGGCAACTAAGCCTGTGGGCCACAACTACTGAGCCTGCACAGACACCTAGAGATGCCCGAATGCCACAACAAAGAACCCCCGAGTTGCAACAAAGACCTAGTGGAGCCAAAAACACACAAAAGAAAAGAAAAACAAAGGAGTAATAAAGAACTACTGACAACTTTATAGCCATAAATTCTACAACTTAGAAGAAATGGGCCAATTCCTCAGCAACCACAAACTACCAAAGCTCAGCAAAGATAAAATGGATAATTGGAATAGTCTTATAACCATAATAAATTCATAATTAAAAAGTCCCACACATTATTTTCAAATAAAAAGAAAACAAAATATTTCTGATTCCGCAAATTTCCAGGCTCTGGCAGTTTCACTGGAGAATTCTAGAAAACATTTAAAGAAGACTTAGCACCAGCTTGATGCATTTTGACCAGAAAACAGAAGACCAGGAAACACTTTCTAATTCATTTTATGAAACCAGTAGTATTCTAATACCAAAATTAGGATGTATTCATTCCCAAATGCCTAGTTAGGAAGGTATATGGGGCTTTACAAGCTCATTTCTGTTGCCATTAGGGCATGCCCAAGATCTTGGAGAATCAAGAACGAAGCTATATATACAGATATTTTGCTTTTTAAGTCAACTGAAAGGGGAATTTGGAATTGGAGACATGATCTAAAAGGAACTCTGATTTTTTTCCTTCCCAATGTGTGATTTGTATGCAGATGTCTCAGCTGCTCTCTGTCATTTGTTCCTGACCAGCTCTGTAAAATAACATGGAAGCCCATGTGAGTTGGGAGGCAAGAGTCCAGGTTTTCAAGTTGTTCTGCTGTTGAGCCAACTTGTGTACTCAGAGAATCAGTTACACATTATCTGCCTTGGTAGCATGCTGGCTTAGTTACCAGCATGTTAATTTCTATAGTAGCATCCATACCAGGAAGTAAGGGCAAAACTAGTAAGTGTATTTATGCCATTATGATAAATTGGTTAACATGCAGGCTTAGGAGGCTTTCTCTGTCAGAGAGTCCACCGACACAGCGGCTCCCCCAAATTACTCGCCATGTCCCTTTTGGAAGTCGCTGTTGGTGCCGCTAAGCTCGGCAAGATGCTTCCCAGCCGTAGGGCCCCAGAGCCCCTTCTCCCATCACGGAGCCATTGCTGAGCTGTGTTCCTTGGGTTTTATTAGCAGAGGTGATTCTCAGGGAGATCACCAGCTGCCCCCCAAACACTCAGTAAATTCAGGAGAGGTGGAAAATGCTGGGGAATGTTAGGCCTGATGTCAGGTGTGGGGCTCACTGAACTAGGAGCTGAGGGCCTGCATGTGTACACCATGTTATCGATTTCAAGGATGAGGCTGTGCATGTATCCTTTTGGTGTTTCTCATCTCCCCACCCCCACAGACATATTAGCTGCCACTCACTTCCTTGACACCTGAAGCACCAGCTGCTATTTTGAGCAAGATACTGACTTAGAATGCCTTCTTCTAATTACATGTCATTATCTCGCCTTGGGGTGGCAGTTCCCTGGTGATGTGGTGCCACGGGACAAGTCAGAGCCACTGGGTTGTCATAAATGCTACCAGTTAGGCCTCCCTGAGATGGGGAGGGTGGTTTCTGCATCCCCAAATTCTCCCACAGTGTTTAAAAAAGAATAAAGAAAGGTCACATGGATTCTCCCTTGTGTTAACATGTACCAGTGGAGGCAGTGGGGAGTCCGAGGCTTGTTCTAAAACTCTTAGTCTGTTACCTAGTTAATACATTCATCCAACTTATTCAGCCCCTCACACAGACCCAGAGCTCACAGTGCAATAGGTTCCCGCCCTCTGGATCTGCCTTCTTATATGTGAACTATACCCTAACACAGGACTAGCATATCCTTCAGAAAACTCTCCAACAGTGGCACTCAACTAAAATTTTTCAAATTCTTATAGTTAGATATTGACATCTTTCTTCTTTTAAAGGCATCAGTAACCAAAAGGGAAACTTTGCTATAGTCTCTGGACCAAGAGCTAGAAGATTATACATTAAGTCTTTGATAAACATGAGCAGACAAAAAGAAAAGATGGTTCAGAATGCAAACAACACATCACTAGAGACTGTATCTAAATTGACAGCACAGTTACCACCAGCTTGAAAGAGATAACATTTTCCAACAAGGAGAGAAAAGACGGCCAAACACCTATCTTAAAATAACTAATAATTAGAAGTCCTTTGGTGCGCTCCTTACTGCAAAAGTGTCATTTCAGAGGTCAAGATACATTCTTTCCGAAACTGACACAGAGTTGAAAACAAGGCGAAGTCTGGTTGCCTGCCATACGTGTCCCTGCCTTCTCCCACAGACTTTAAGCAGGTCGTGAGATGAACTAAAGAACAGATAGCTACTCCCAACACAGTTAATAAATGATCCCTCCCAACTGACAAAGCGCCAGTACCACCGGCATGAGTACTCCCCCGTGGGGATCTGCACTCATCCTCGGAAAGGACGGTGCCTTCGGTCACGACGCACAGACGCTGCGTGTTCCCTGCATGTCTCCCACCCCCACGTCTCACACATCAGAGGCGCAGACACAGATCCGGGGCGCAGGTCGGACGACAGACGGGAGCACGTGCTCTACACGCCGCCCTACTCACGGAAGGCAGGGGCCCCGGCCGGGGGTCTTCGGCAGGACCGGCGGCGGCGGCTCCCCGCACTCTGCGGGCAGCGGGAGGGACCCCCTGCGTCCCCGGCCGGCTTCCTGCGGCCGTGCGGTGGCGGCGTCCCGTCAGGAGTGTGGAACAGTAGGGAAAGAGACCGGTTCACTGTGAGACCTGCTACTCACTCTCGGACAGTGCCTCGGCCCCCCTTCCCACTGCACAGCGGCTGCCGCGGGCGGCGAGTGGCCCCCAGACCGTGAGCCGGGCGCTGGGGCCCACGCGGACACAGGCGGGCGCTCAGCGACCTTCTTCTCCGACACTGCATTTTTTTTACGGTGCTAGGTTCCCTAGCCTTAGGGACAGGGAAAGAGTCTCAGGTGGGGGATACTATGAACTAGGAAGATGGGGAGGTGGTGGGCTCTCAGCTTTCAGAGAAACAAAGAGGGTCCCCAAGTCAGTTATGCAGACCGTGTTTCGCGTGCATGCTGGGGAGGCTGGGTAACGTGGATTTCACCTCGTGGGACCTGTCACTTTTCCACACAGTTCATCAAATGCTCCATTATCTTCCCCGGGGAAGGGGAATGAGCTGATTTGAACTGTGAAGCTTGGATGCTCATCCAAAGAGGACAGCTGAGAGATTTATGTGCAAAATAACTGAGCTGGAGGAGGAAGTGGGCAACACATTCCAAGTACCTGCTGGCTGCGCCGTTGGCGGTATTTGCTGGCCCCTCTGAGCGCTGAACTGAACCGAGGCCATAGGCCGGTACTGCTGCGTGGTTGAGGTAGGGTACTGACCAGACGGATAATAATACACAGGCATCTGGGGAAGGAAGGGAACAATGGCAGGACGTGAGGGCTGCAAACAGAGTAACGTTTTCAAACATAAAATATATTGGCATCTCATGACATAATGTGAGTACAGTAAATTGCAAAGATGGCCACCCTGCCTACATGCGTATGCACTGAGTGAGTGAGTGAAAGTCGCTCAGTTGTGTCCAACTCTGCGGCCCTATGGACTATAGCCTGCTATACTCGTCTGTCCGTGGAATTCTCCAGGCCAGAATACGGGGCTGGGTAGTTGTTCCCTTCTCCAGGGGATCTTCTCAACTCAGGGATCAAACTCAGATCTCCTGCATGGGAGGAGGCTTCTTTACCATGTAAACCACCAAAGAAGCCCAAGAATGCTGGAGTGGGGAGCCAATCCTTTCTTTAGTGGATCTTCCCGACCCAGGAATCTAACCAGGGTCTCCTGCATTGCAGGTGGATTCCTTACTGGCTGAGCTCCCAGGGAAGCCCATGTATGTGTTACCAATGCCATCAGACAGGAATGATGATTTCTGAGACTTGTATGCCTGATCCTTAACAAGACTTGCAGCTTTCACTCTTTCAGGAAAGAACCCAGCCACCAGAAGTCCAGGCTGCCCAGCTGGAGCAAGAGGCCATGTGGAGGCCAGAGGCTGCCCAGCCAAGATCCCAATGCTCTGACTCATGAGTGAGGCCACATGGAACCTTCCAGGCCCAGTAAAGCCACCTGGGACGGCACCACATGCTGAAGGGGCGGGCCATCCCCACGGAGTCTTGCCATAAATCGCTGACCTGGCTGTGAGCTCGACAACGGCTGTTGTCTTAAAGCACTGAATTTTGTATTTTTTTAAATGCAAGAAGAGTGAATGAAACAGTCATCAACAATGACAGCACATTTTTGGGTAGTTTTAAATGTGATCAGGCATCCCTGGTGGCTTAGCTGGTAAAGAATCTACCTGTAATGTGAGAGACCTGGGTTTGATCCCTGGGTTGGGAAGATCCCTTGGAGAAGGGAATGGCAACCCACTCCAGTATTTTTGCCTGGAGAATTCCATGGACGGAGGAACCTGGTGGGCTATACAGTCCATGCGGTCGCAAAGAGTCAGACACGACTGAGTGACTTTCACTTCACTTCACTTAAATGTGATCATCTAACTTGAATCGTTTTTCTAATGGAAACACAGGTAAGTCATGAAACCTGCTGATCTCTAGCCTAAAAGGATCAGAGGATGAAGTTATGAAATAAGGGGAGGTCCAGCAGAGCGCTTAGCAGAGTGGCACATAGCCAGTATCCCCCCTTCAAAAAAAAAAAAAAGGAATATTCAGTCTAAAAAGGAACATAAGTTAAAAAAAGAATGTTCAGTCTAGAAAGGGACATAGGTCAAAATTATTGTTTATGTCACCTTTTGTCACTTTCTCCTGACTGGGAATGACTGAAAATATTCTAATTACTTCCAGTAAGATTCAAATAAAATGTCTAGTGACCTGGAAAGATTTCTTGCCTGTCTCAGGTCATTTATATGAAGGCTCTTTTCTTATTAATCAACTACTTTTTATTTCTAGGCCTCTGACTTTTCTTCTATCAACTTCTTTACAATGTAAGCAAAGCCATGCCAGTTCACAGGCTACAAGGTTTATCTGTTTAGAATAATATTAAAAGCCACCTGTTTGAGCATAGAGATTTTTATGGCTTGCCCTCTTTGCCTTGTCCATGCATATTTGCTTCACTCTTCTGGTGGGCTGGGTGTTCATGGAAAGTCAGACAAAACTGACCTTTATAGTTACTAAATAGGTTCATTTTTCTGCATAAATTGAGCATATTTTCATATATGCCCACAGACCATATCTCATGTTATTTTCATTATTATACATCGAGTCATTGAGTTTTAAAATGTTTAATAAATTGAAAATCACTGTGGGATATATCTTATACCTTTACCTGTGGTTCTTTTACAAAGAAGTTCAGAGATGTTCAGACTGACCGTTAACATGTGTTTTCTGGTTTTTTTCCCCCGTTCCCTCTCTCTTTCTATTTTTAAACCTATTGATGAGAGAATGAGAGTATTTCCGTTGCAGACACACCAGCGCTCTGGGTTGTCTTTGCTCTAATATTTGCTCTAGTATCTTTGCTCACTAAAACTGGAATTCCTTCAGTCAAGCAGGGACATCTTTTTTTAAAAAAAGGCTTCAACTGAATATTCTACCAAGTCTTTTCTTTCCCCCAAATTAAATATTATTAAAATCATTAATATATTAGTGAGGCCTGTTCTCCTGTAACTTAGAATTATTTTCCATATCTCCTTAAAGCCTACCCTGATACCTCAGTTGGTAAAGAATCTACCTGCAATGTAGAAGACCCTGGTTTGATTCCTGGGTCAGGAAGATCCACTGGAGAAGGGATAGGCTACCCACTCCAGTATTTCCTGGTGGCTCAGCTGATAAGAATCTACCTGCAAGATGAGAGACCTGGGTTTGATCCCTGGGTTGGGAAGATCTCCTGGAGAAGGGAAAGGCTACCCACTCCATTATTCTGGCCTGGAGAATTCCATGGACTATAAAGTCCATGGGATCACAGAGTCAGACACGACTGAGCCACTTTCACTTTAAACCCTACCAGTGACACTACTATATTACAGAGAAGGCAACTAAAGGTGGACTATAATTATCACTCAAGATAAAATGAATGACTGGGTGAAAATCACTTCATGGTAGAGGATTCTGCATGGCAGGAAAAGAAAATAATTTATTCAAGATGTTAAGGCAACCACAAATGATACAAAGGTGACACTGTACTTGAAACAGCTCCTCCAATGAGATATTTCATAATTAGGATGGAATTTGCTTGAGCTATGCATGCCTTGAAAATGGACCAGAAAATGCCTCAGTGCATTTTACATCTTGACAGTAATCACTTGCAATATTCAGCAAGGGATGCCCAGGAGAGCCCCAGAGATGTTTGGTGGTGAAGACTAACACATAATCAGTCTTTGAGAAGACAGTAAAAATCAGTGATCTGTGGTGTCTTACATGCCCAAGTCAATTAAATATGATTAATGGCTACCTGTGGGCGGGCGTGGGAGGCCAGAGCCCCCGGGGAGAGGAGAGTACAGTGGAGGGGGCTTAGCTTCCTCCTTTATATTCTGAGAGGAGCCCCCGATTGGCTCCAGAAAGATGCTTCTGAATGGATAAGAAAGGAAACATGTTTCCAGAGCAGCAGCAGGAGCGATGTAAGGCCCCCAGGAGCTGACTTCCCTGCTTCCTTCCCCAGGGCTTTCCTGCCCCGAGCCATCACCATAGTGAGCCACATCCTGCAGGAGGTGATGCTCTGCCAAGGCCTCTGCAACAACAGCCTAGACAGTGGGCCATTCCCTCCAGTCCTGGGGACACAGGTCCGCCTCGCCCAGCTTCCTTTCTGAGCCCCACAAGGCTCTGCACAGCTGGTGAACAGGACAGACCAAGACCTGTAGGCTGCGACTCTCAGCATGGCCCAGAAGGGCGAGGCGGGCTGAGTTGGCGACATCTCTACATGGAAACCGAGCTCAAGATGTTCTGGGTCCAGCAGCTCTGGGTCCCAGGTGTGAGAAGAGGCACACTCACCTGTGTGGGTGGAGGCTGATGCACGAATCCCTGTGGCGAGGCAGGGGGTTGGAGGACTTGCTGGGAGCCAGAGAAGCTCCCCGTGGGAAGCTGCTGACCCGTGGAAGCGATGACGTAGCTTGGCTGCTGGGTGGGCTGAGGCAGGAGGGATGGTGGGTAGACGGGACCTGTGGGGGGCTCGGGAGTCTCCCCTGAAGACTGCCGGCTCAGGGTCAGCTGGCCGAACTGCGTGGCCACGTCCTCTCTCTGCAAGCCATCAAGAGAAACCGGGACATCAGCAAGGCTGGCTGAGGAATGGGAGGGGCACAGAGAAGCAGACACAGGACACAGGCTTGCCCTTACAGGAGGCGGAGGGGGGACGGTCTGGAAAAAAATAAATCAAAGGAATTCTCTGTCCAAAACAAGAGAACGTAACAAGGGAAAATAGATTTTAAACATCTTGAGGATCAGTGATGGTCAACGGGTTGACCTGTATCTCCTTCTTTCAGTGGAAACAAATGATTATTTTTTTCACTGTGGGCTCAAGATCCTCAGGATAGCACTGAGATGAAAAGGACTTGGTGGTCTATCCTAGAGGGTCATCTGGTCTACCAGCAATAGCCCACAGACTCTGCCTACTGGAGAGAGACAGAGGGACTTGTACTGCCCTTGGCTGCTGCAAGAATGGAACCAGGACTGGTGTCATCAGCAAGCTGAGTGGGATTCCACTTGTAAAGGAGTATTTATTCACTGCCTGGCCTAAAGTTAAGGGAGAATGTTCACTCTCATTGTCCAAAAGGACCTAGTACATTGAGGGGAAATGAGAGGGCTCTGGAGGACTGGGATACTAGGGGAACATCTGTATCAGGAGCAGAGGGTGATATCAGTTACCATCTAGATACTGATTTTAAGGTATTTCCCAACCTTCACACCAAACTCATGTATCTCTCTCCTCCTGACTTCTAACTCAGAGGACATCCAATTCCTGCTTAGCTTGTACATGCCTTTTTATATTTTTTTTGGCTGTGCATCGTGGCATATGGGACCTTAGTTCCTTGACCAGGGATCGAAACCCTGACCCCTGCAGGGGAAACACAGAGGTCTTAACCGCTGGACTACCAGGAAAAGTCCCAAGCTGGTAAACTTCTAAACAGGGTATCAGACTGCAGGAGCATTAAACGTGGGACAGATGACAGAAAGGAAAGCATTATTTCTGGAGAGGAGTGGCAGTGTCCTGGAATGAGACATTCACACACTGCGTCCACGCTGACAGTCAGCTCAGGGCCCCCCACCCAGCATCAGTCCACTCGGCAATAGTAAAACCCCAGAACACACTCTCCCAGGAGAAATGTCATCCCCACAAGATACAGTACCAGGGGGAACTGCGGCGTTGGAGACACGGGCAGGAGTTGCTGGGGAGGAAAAGACACAGTTGGGTATTGCACGGACTGGGAGGAAGCCTGCAGCCCCTGGACAGACTGGAGGAAAGAGAAAGCTCATCAGGTCTACAGGTAAGTGCTGGGGGTTACAATCCCACTGCCTCTGAAGCACACCACCATCCCGCACAGGCAGTCTTGGTTCAGTGTACTCTGGAGAGGAGGGCCGGCCACTGATGGGAAGGCAGAGCCAGGCAGACAGGCACCAGCCAGCCTTGGGGGAGGCTTGCTGCCCAGATAAGAAATCATGTGTGTGAAACTGCTGAAAAAACTGTAAAGCACTATAGAATTTAAAGAATTTCATTTAGGTTTTTTGTTTTTTTTTTTAAGAAATATTGTGAGACTTTTCATGTTGGTGGTGGTGGTCAGATTCCCTGGCTCTAAAAATATAGTCCAAAGGCTAAGAGTTTCCAGGGTTAAAATTTTTCGTAAGAAGCAAGAAAAAAAAAAAAAGAAAACTGAGGTTCGCCTTGGGCACTTCCCTGGACACCTCAGGTTTCTGTGGCCATGTCCACGTGTTGCCCTAAAACAGAAGGGCAGCCCTATGTCTGTCCGAGGCACAGGCGAACAGCCAGGCCACCTTGGAATGAGCTGGTTTCTGTTCTTCCCGTTGGTAAGGCATTTCATACTGAGTCTTTGCAGACACACACACTGCTCTGCACTGGGAATGATGACAACGGGCTGAATGGGATTGAGTTCCGCCCCCAAGTCAGGCTTCTTGACCATACAAGCAGCATTTAGATCTAAGACAAAAACTTGTCATTCCTGTTCCCAAGCACCATGCCTCAGCACGCAACTCACTGGATGGGGTGCGTGCTCAGCTGTACCTACACTTACGAATTCAGGTGAAGTCCCATTAGCTTATCAGCCAGGGCTCTCGGTGGCCAGCTTTTATGATGGAGTTGAGTGGACAGGGGTGGTACCCATGGGAAATAGCCCCCTTCCTGACGCATCACATCTCCAAGGCTGGCGTGACCTCTGTCTCCGCACGCCTCCCCTCCCGGTCTTCCTACCAGCTCTTACCTGAGTGACCAGGGGGCTGGCCATTTGCGGCTGGGCTGGCTGGACCTGCTGTTGAGGCTGTGGGGAGGGCTGCTGCTGGGGCTGCGGCTGGGTCTGCCCCACCATCGCGCTACGCAGGGGCTGCTGACTGGCTGGGGGGTTGTAGATGGCGGGGGTTCCATCAGGATTCACGAAGGGCTGGCCTGCAACGGGACCATACCTTGGTCAAGGGAAACTTCTCAAGCCCTCTTTGGACACAAAAAACCCCTCTGAGAGATGCTCAAAATGGAAGCTGAAGACAAGGACACCAGAACCTTCACCAAGGTGAAGACTTGACTGTTTAAGACGCATCTGGTTGAGCAAAATAACAGTATAATAAGTCCAAAGCAATTTGAGATACTGCAAATAAAGCCACCGCCTTCAGGGCGATTCGCCGAAGCTAAGAGTACCTGTGGCAATGGCACCAGAAGGAGGCCCGTGGAGACCTGTGTGTGCGGTTCTGGACCCCGCAGCCAGCAGCGAGGTAACCTACACTGACAGATAAGGGATGTTTTGCACTGACCGCTCCACGGCGTTCAGTGGCTCATTATTTACCAGTACATCTGCTTTGCTTCCACTGGGCTGGTCACCAACTCAATCATTATCTGTTCCACAAATGTATGTACAACCGGAATATACTGCAGGCATTCATTCACTTCTCTAAGCAGACAGCAGCAGGGGAGGGGACTGAGATTTTGAAAGTGATGCATAATAAACCCATCACAGAACCATCTGGTCACGGTGAAGCAAATATGCATTGTCCTGTCTTGTGAAATACTGGTGTGGTTCACTGTTACTGCTCCTGCCATTTGAGGAGTATTTTATAATTTACAAAACAGTATCATTGGGACCTCATTGGGCCTCTGAGGAAGAAAGGTGTCATTGTGTTGTGTTTCTGAAGAGGAAAAATAGGGTCACTAGGAGGCTTACAGGAATAAGGGGCTGAAAGGAGAAGGGTAAGGAGAAGCAATGAAAGAGGGGAAAAGAGGGAAAGGAAGGTAAGGGAGAGAAGAAGTGGGTTTCCAATATGACAGGTGCAGCAACAAGCACCTTACACACAGGGTCCTCTCTTCCAAGCACCCCACAGATGCGCAATCTCATTCCACTTTATTATTTTTTATTCATTTGGCTGTGCCACGTGGCTTGTGGGATCTTAGTTCCCTGGCCAGGGATCGAACCTGTGCCCCCTACAGTGGGAGTGTGGAATCCTAACAACTTAACCACCAGGGAAGTCCCTCACTGCACTTTTAGAGACAAGATAATCAGGGTTTGGAGGGCCCAAGCAACTTATTCAGAAATAAATGAAGCAGTAAGTGAGACACTTAGGAAATGACTCTGGTCCATGCCCCTCCCATACACCGAACAACTTTGGTGAATTATCCAAGTTTGCACGATGAATACATGGGGCAGTGAATGAGGTTCCATGGAAAAAAAAAAAAAAAAAACCAAACCCACCATAACTGAAAACTGTTCATTAACACATGAGAAGTTAGGAGAGGTGTGGGTCATGTTTCAAGGTGGAAATCACCCTCAGGATTGGTAGATAAAGAAGACCCAGAATATGGGTGAAGAGGTGGGCAAAGTGCTTACTGGTAAAGAGCAATGGACTTAATTTCAACTCCTTTAGGAACTGACATGGGACTTCCCTGGTGGCCCAGTGGTTAGGACTCTGTGCTTCCACTGCAGAGGAAGGTTTAGGTTTAGGCTTGATCCCAGGTCGGGCAACTAAGAGTCCAAATGCTGCACGGTGTGGCCAAACAAAACTAACAAAACAAAACCTTCCTTTAAATACTGATGAGCCTACTTGCAGGGCAGGAACAGAGATGCAGATGTAGAGAAGAGACTTGTGGACACAAGAGGGGAAGGAGAGGGTGGGATGGACTGGCAGAGTAGCGCTGAAACAGGTGCATGACCATGTGTGAAACAGACGGCTCTGGGAAGCTGGTGCGTAACACAGGGAGCTCAACCCCGTGTTCCGTGATGACCGAGAGGGGCAGCAATGGGGCTGGTGGGAGGGAGGCTGAAGAAAGGGGGAAAATATATGCATATTTATGGTGGATTCACGTTGTTATACGGCAGAGACCTACACATCACTGTAAAACAACTATCCTCCAATTAAAAATGAACTTTAAAAAGTGAGCAAATAAACACGGATGGCTCTGGAAAAAACACCTTCCTTTCAAAAGGAAATTAGGAGCTGACATGAAAGCTTTAGCATTTCTCAAATTTTCAGCACTCCCCTCAATATGTGTGTGTGTATCCAACAAGTAACTTTATATGCTGCTTATTCATGAACATACCTACCAGAACCACAGAAGTTCTAACAACAGTTTCATAACCAACACAACATGGTGTGATAGAAAAGCAAATGTGCTAGAATTTTAGTCACAGAACAATGACTAAATTTAGAGGGTTTTTAAAAAAATGTTCTTCATAAGCACTTGTTTCTCTATCATTGTTATTTAATTTTAGCTATGTTTTATTGTCTTATTGTTCTTTTTTTCCAAAATAACTCTTCTGAATTTAAAAAAAAATCTGCAACCGATTTTTTTTTTTTCCTGCAAAACCCAACAATTCAAGAAAGAATGAAAAAAATAGCTCAATTTACAAAAATCTACTGGCCCATTTGGGGTTCTAATCCTTTGTTCTCTCCTCCTATTTTGTATCTTAATAGGTAAGAGGAAAATTTTAGGTTCTTAACATTAAAAAAAAAAATCATAGCAACTACATGTGAAATCATTTTCAAGTCAGCCTTACTCTATGCTCACACACACACATATAAACACAATCATGCAAAGGTGGAAAACAAAAAGAAAATGATCTTTACTATTTCTATGACTTTTTATTAAATTGGATTTAAATAAAAAAACAAAACAAACCTGCTATTTGTGGATTTTTGGTCACACCACATGGCACATGGGATGTTAGTTTCCTGACCAGGGATTGAACCGATGCCCCCTTCATTGGAAACGCAGAGTCTTAATTATTGGACCAGAGAAGTCCCACTACTTCTATGACTTTTGATTTACCCCAGTGAGAACAAAGGAAGTGTGAAAAATTGACCATGCTTAGGGTGTAAATATAACTGTAAAGTATTTAGCTGCCACTTTAGATTCTCTGTTTAAAATAATATTATTGTGCTGGGGACCAGAAGAAAGAAATCTCTAAATAGCGACATGTGAAAATTACTAGGGCTTCCCTGGTGGCTGAGATGGTAAAGAATCTGCCTGCAATGCAGGACACCAGGTAATTCCTGGGTTGGGACAATCCCTTGGAGAAGGGAATGGCAACCCACTCCAGTATTCTTGCCTGGAGAATCCCATAGACAGAGAAGCCTGGCGGGCTACAGTCCATGGGGAGTACTAAGAATTCACTTGGGTAGGGAGAGGGGACAGGCTCTTCTGGAAAGAGAACAGAGTATAAAAGGTTGATTTTTATGCTCACCAAGGAACAATGGAGAGAATCGAGGCAAATGAAAAAAGTCAAGACAAATGCCAGGGAAGAGACCAAAAACAATTTCCTATGAGGGCCGGGAGGTGACTCTTGGTTTTCAAGTCAGGCTATGACGGCCTCTCCATTTTCTACCTATTCACCAATCCAGATGCAATTACGACTGAGTACAGACAACTAGTTTGAATGACAGCAGATGAGAACCAAAGGAGAAAGGCTCACCAGCTCTAGGCCTATTCCACTTAGCAGAGGTTTTCATGTCAGAATTGCGGAAGCCTGCCCAGCAGGCCTGGCACGGGTGTTGGCAGGTAAAGAGGGTATAGTGACAGCAGTAAGCCAGGGCTGTGAGCTGAGCCAGGGCAGAGAGAAGGTTTGAATGCAGAGCGTCCGCCACTCTCAAATACATGACTTGAGGTGAAAAACGTCTCTGCTCTTCACATCAACGTGTGTAATGTGCAGCTGACATCGTGTTACTAATAGATAATGACTGAGCCCCTGCAAGGGACCGAGGCTCTGTTATCCAGGGATGCAAAACAAAAACGAAAAACTCAGCAGGACCTCTCCTCATGAAGGACTTACAAATGGGATGGTAACAAGGAAATGAATCCAGGGGCAGTTCACACTAAAAAGAAAGTAATTATATGCTCTTGGTTTCCCATACTAAAGCATGGCTGCTATGTACCTGGCAGAAGGGTATTTAAAAAGGAAGGGAGGGCAGGATGGGAAAAATATCTTCCTTCTTAGTTCTTAGAAAGTGAGCAGTCAAATGATAAAGAAGCTGGCGGTTATGGATAAGCAAAGATTACTTCAGGTCTTGCGAAGACATGTTTTTAGACAGCACACAAAGAATTCATGGCGCATTCAAGCACAAGGTGGAAGCAGTTCAGATAAATTGATTCTAGACGTCCTGTGAAACACAAAAAGCAGAGCGTTATGGAAGCCCATGAGGAGCATTCGGAACAAACCAGCCTTCAAAGGCAGCTCAAAGTCAAGTCCTTGCATCTTACACTCCTGAACTTTAGCCAGACAAAAGCAGAGCAAAATGGCAAAACAACATACACGGACACTAACAAGGGCGTGAGGCGTGCCAATGCCTGTTGACATCTCTGGATAGCACCGTGTTGGCAGAAAACTGCCAAAGATGAGCCTTCGGCTAGAAACTTCCCGAAGGAGGCTGAGTCTAAGACAGCTGGAGGAAGCTGCATCTCAAGAGTCAAACCCAGGCTTGCCTGGCAAGGATGAAGGCGTGGTCCAAACATAACTCTTGAGCAAAGAGCCTCTGATTCCTTCATCCAGATGCCCACAGAGCAAAGAAACAACAGTCAACACAGGTCCAGAGTTAGAAATGGACCAAGTGGGAGCTGAGTCTAAAGACAGACAAGGTAAAAAGTCCTGGTTGTATTGGGGGAACTGCAAGAATGTATATGTTTATTTTTTTTTAATTTTTTATTAGTTGGAGGCTAATTACTTTACAATATTGTAGTGGTTTTTGTCATACATTGACATGAATCAGCCATGGATATACATGTATTCCCCATCCCGATCCCCCCTCCCACCTCCCTCTCCAAAGAATGTATATGGATGGGTTGGTTTCGATTGCCAAATACTCAGTGTCAAGTAAAAGTCTGGTCCATTGTGCCGACAAAGGAAGTTTCATTTTTGTTTCAGTTAGCAGATAAATGATGGACAGGCACCTTAGAATTTCAAATCATTGCTTGTCTTATTCCTGCTTAAGACAGATATTTTTATCCATCATCATTTTACACATGAGGCACATTCTCAGATATATGACACCGGACGAAAAACTGCTCTACTCTCCACATCAGCATGGATGATGAATGGGAGACACTGTTTCAAAAATATGTAATTGTCGAGGACCTGTGTCTGAGCGGAGTGCCTCAGGCTACTTCATCATCCACTCCAGGGAGGCAAGAAATATAACCAAGTGTGGCTCCTCCCCACAAGCTCAGGAACGTGCTGGTAACTGGGAAATGGACCCTGAAGCAATTCACCCAAGAAGCAAAGGGCTCAGAGGCTCCGGGTTGAATACCGAAGCACTCCTCTCATGTGTTGGCAGACAGGTAGTTAGGAAAGGGTAAGAGGCGTGGATTCTAGGAGGGGGCAGCAATGCCAGAGGAAGATGAATTTTGGCCCAAAGGAGGCAACTTTCCAGTTTTCATAGTAGCATCATGTGATCAGATAGGGACTTCCCTGACAGTCCAGTGGTTAAGATGTCACCTTCCAATGCAGGGGTTGTGGGTTCAATCCCTGAATGGGGAGCTCAGATCCCATATGCCTCACAGAAACAATACTGTAACATTCAATAAAGACTTTAGAAGTGATCCGTATCAAAAAAAAAAAATCTTGAAAAAAGAGAGATTAATAGCCAAGGAGACAGACTCACACACAACATACCAGAAATACACATATACACACACAAATATGATATATGACACACATATATCTGTATATGTACATATTTTTTTTCCTTTTTTGGTTATATCACATAGCTTGTAGGATCTTAGTTTCCTGTCCAGGTATGCAATATGGGGCCATGGCCGTGAAAGCACGAAGTCCTAACCACTAGACCAGGAGGGGATTTTGTGCATATTTTTAATTGACAAAAATAAACACATTCTGGAAAAAAACAAACATCACAACTTACCTTACATCTCACCACTCATCATGGTATAGAATAATTTAGTACATTTTCCTCCTGGTCTAGGGAGAGTTTCACGTCTTTCATTTGTCAAATCACAGATGTGTGTATGGAGACTCTGGTCAACAGTGTTATTAGATCCTTTTCTTTAGTTAGGACCCTTTTACAAAGGAGATATTTCAATAACAGCTCTAAATTATTCATGCCAATGTATAAAAATTGGGACTTGGCACCAGGAAGCACTTTCTTCCCTTTTCTATAAACAAGATTATAGATGATAATATACACATACATGCTATCATTACAAATCATTGTCCCCTAAAAAATACTCTGTTGAGCTTTTTGGAAACACTCTGTAATTTTGGTTAAAACATACCACTCAAAACTACGCTTAGTGGATACTCTTGTCTACAAACCCTCCCTATCTCAATTAAAAGTGAAAGAATTTAAACTGACAGCATCAGATCACACTTTGAACTGTGCCCAGAGTAATGGATATGATGTTGGTTTTCTTTTCATTTCCTTTATAGTGCTTACAATGATCCAGATAAAATAAAAGCAATATAATATCCTCCTTACAAGTATCTAATCTGAAAGCTTTCAAATGGTTTTCAATAAAATGATTATGCCTTCTTTCCCCTCAAGCTTATGGCATTTTCAAAATGTCTCAGTCACACACCGTGCCTTGAGAATGTGCCATATGTTTTCATGAAAATGTCGCAATTATTCAAGTAAGTATTTTACTATCATGCTCACGCATCTCTGAATTTCCTAATTACTAGACATGTGAAAACATGGAGTCACAGCACTTTTATGAGACTCTTAACCAGCATTGCATTTTTAAATTTAGTTCAGCAAAGAAATACTCTGGAATGATCTAAACCAAACCATAGATATATTTTGAGAAAATTCAAAAATTTTTTCCATCTCTTTCAAAGGTTTCTAGAGAAATGACTTATTGATATCAAGCCTTCCAACCCAGGGTTTCCCAGCCCTGGCACTACTGACATCTTGGGCTGGATAATCCTGTGGTGTCAGGGGCTGTCCTGTGCATTTTGGGATGTGTAGTCGCATCTCTGGTCCCTCTCCTTAGATGTCAGTAGGAGCCCCTCCTCCCCAGGTCATGATAATAAAAATATTTGCACATACTGCCAGATGGCCTTGGATGCATGGGAAAACTGCCTCAGGTTGAGAAGTATCACTTACAGAGCAGGTGTTCATTAGTCTATTTGCCCAGTGCTCTGGGTCCTCTCAAGTTATTGTGCAAGATAACTGACCACTAGAGAAATTAAATAAGTACAAAGCAATTTAAGATGTACGAACTAGTAGGTATAAAACAAGCCACAAGGATACATTGTACAACATGGGGAATATAGCCAGTGTTTTACAATAACTACAAATGGAGTATAAACTTTAAAAATTGCAAAGCACTATATTTTGCACCTGTAACTTATGTAATGTTACAGAACTATACTTCGATTTTAAATAAGTAAAAAACAAAACCCAACAAAACCCAACAACAATGGCCATTCATCATGAAAGAAACAAGTCATGAAATTAGCAATTTTCCAAATCCCACCAAAACCAGCCTAACCCTAAAATTCCTGAAATATGTAAGATCCTGTCCTCTGCATTCTCTTGTCACTGCTGTTCCCAGTGGTATCTGTGTGGGGTTGTAAGATGAGAAGACAGTTTATGTAGTGAAGAATCTGCTATGTGTCCAATTGAGATCTCAAGTTCCTGGAATTATCTTGAAAGTGAAAAGAGTTCAAACACAACAACAAGCTAACCATGGATTCAGCCTGAGAAATATCCATTTTCAATGAACACCTCACAGTTTGTCACTCCACAGTTTCTGATCTTAGATCCTAGGAATACATGAGGGAGACCATGTCCAGGGAGGAGAGGCCAGAGAGAAAAGTATATTTCTGGAAAGTATCTGTATTTTGATTTCCACATCAATATTGATATTGATACTGAGATACAGATTCCAGCTCTCTATAGATCTGCTCTTCCTAAAACAAGACCCTCCACCACCATTCAGGCCCCAGGAACTTTCAGACCACTGGCTAGCAAATTCAAAAGCTCAGACACAAGAACAGACATCAGATCTTGTGTCTCCGTCAAAGAGAGGTGATGGACGAACCTGTGTGTGGATTGAGGAGGATGCTTCCGGGCGGGATGCCTGTGGCAGCTTCGAGCGGAAGGAGGATGTAGCTGGCGCTGCTAGGAGCGACCTGGCCCCCCATCCCGTTCTCTGGGTAGGTCACACAGCCAGGAGAAGTGGCTGCCACGCCCGAGACCAGCGGAGTGCTCTGGAGAGGCGGATACGTGCGTGACAGCGATCCTGAGGAGCCTGCGCTGCTGGAGGACTCGGAACCTACCAGAGAGACACAGATCAACGAGTCATTCCACATGGAGAAGGGGAGCGAGACCACTGCTTACTGTAAGCAATCCATCACTGAAGAATCTGAGGCGACTGCTGCGGCACGAGACTAACTAACGCCTCTCCCACATTTTATTTGTCACATGTTTTTCAGACAGATCAGACTCCCAGGAAAAGAGAGCTGAAGAAGGAGCCCCCAGCTCCTGGCATCTCACTTACCACTAGGGGGATGAGCTGGTAAACGGTACCATAAGGCTCAGAACTCAGTGCCTGCAAATTCCTGTCTCCTCGAGTAGTGAATGATGTGGGAAGGTCTCACTGAGCTTGAGTTCCGACACTAAAATGACTGGGGGACGTCCCTGGTAGTCCAATGGTTAAGAATCCCCCTTGCAATGTGGGGACATGGGTTCCATCCCTGTTGGGGGAACGGAGATCTCACATGATGCGCGGCAAATAAGCTCACATACCACTACCAGAGAGCCCACGCACTGCAAGGAAAGATCTCTCCTGATTCAAAGAAGATCCCACATGCTGTTAACTAAAATCCGATGAAGCCAACTAAATGTTGTTATTCAGTCACTAAGACCTGTCTGGTGTCTGACTCTTTGTGGCCCCATGGACTATAGCATGCCAGGCTCCTCTGTCCTCCACTGTCTCCCAGACTTTGCTCAAATTCCTGTCCACTGTAGCCCAATAAATGAATACATAAAAGTTAAAATGACTGGGATGGAGGTTAAAATGACTGCAGTTTAAGGAGAAGTCCATGGTCATGCAGATAGCTCTAAAGTACTAGTTCTCCAACATCCATAAAGCTGAATTTTGAAAGGTCGTAGTCAGAAGTGATCTTTCCTCTCAAATGTGAGTAGAAGAACTGGCTCATTCCTTCTAATTAAGATCTAGAAAGTGCTTAAGATCTGCACCAGATCTTGCATATTCACAGAAGTCTTATTAATATGATCAAGAGATAAATCAAAGAGGTCTTGGTCATCACAATAATGATTGATCATTCTTCAGATGACACAGGAGCAGAACCATGCGGGGATTTGTGGACTGACGATTTTTCAAATACACAGGGTCAGTGTGCAGAAGCCACTGAGATGGAATTCAACGCTAATCGTCTCCCTTTCCCTCCAGTGTGGACAAGAAAAGCTACATTCCAAGTCCACGAGACAGCAGCAAGCAGAGCCAGGCAGCTCCAGCGCCCTTGCCCATGGCTGTTCTTGGGCCCTGAATATTAAATCAGAGCCTCAGAGAGAAACTGCCCCAAGCCAAATTTCTACATCTGTGGATTCAAACTAATGAATGGGTTGAGTGACATCACAACTTGCAAGAATGGAGTATAAGGAATTTTTAAAACTATTAGCCCACACTATTGATTTATATCATTAAAAATTCATTGTTCTGGGTCACTAAAGGTTAATACATATATAAAGAATATTTAAGATTGTTTTGAAGATTCTAAAATGAGCCCTTAAACTGGAGAACTTCTAAAATAAATGAGAGGAATATAATGTGACTGCAGACAAAAGGCACCACTAGAGACTGCGGTAATATTTTTGTTTTTGAATACAAGGTGTGAATTTATTTTCAAATTCGAATCAAACATGGTAGAGTGGCTTAAAATCTTAAACTAAGTTGTCTGAATTGAACAAATTCAGAATTGGGCAAAAATAGTCATGACTATGTCACCGCAGTGCTTCTCAGAGAGACCACTTCTTGTCCCTCAAAGCAGAGCATGATCAATGTCGAAGTGTAATTAAATTATTTTCTCATTGACTCTTTTAAGGGACATCTACAAGTATATAAAAATAAAAGTCAAAAGTTATCCTGAATTAGAAGGATAGTGACATTTACTGGGTACGTAGTATGTGTGGACATCTTGGTAAAACCTGTAATTTGAAGGACTATGACCGCACACACAGGGAAGGAAATGGAAGCAGAGAGAAGGCAGCTAACTCAAGCCAATTCATACAGCTAGATAACGACGGAGCTGGGATGTGATCCTGGCAGACTGATCTAGATTCGACCATGACCCACTACTGACCGACACCTGTGTTCTCGGTGGGGATCTTCTGTGCTTTTCTGACTATTCAGAATGATCAGGTTTCAGGTGAATTCAAGATGGTCCACCTAACTAATGGAGATACGGTTCTAAATAATATATGGGTACATGGGGGGGGTGAACTGGAAGACTGAGACTGATATATGTGCAGTATTGATACTATATATGAAATAGGTAACTAATTGGGAATCTACAAGGATCTCTAATTAACACTCTTTGGTGATCTAAACGGGAAGGAAATCCAAAAGAGGGGATATATATATATATATATATATATATGTATGTATGTATGGCTGATTCTCTTTTCTGTACAGTTGAGACGAACACATGGTAAAATAATATACTCCAGTAAAAATTAATTAAAAAAAAAACACATGGGCAGAAAAATAAAGGATCTAAAGGGAAATGTGGAAATGGTAAGAGCAATTGTGGGAACACACAGCTAACATGTCTGATCCTGAATTCACTGCTCAGTGCAAACTCTAGTGTGTGTTTGTGGACTTGTGTCTATGATGCGATGCTACAGTCCAAGTCTGACACTTAAAGAGTCAACAGCAACAACAGTAATAATACAGTAACACTTTCTGCCTCCAGGAGTTGAAGGTCACACACAATTGATTCAGCCTGCGTTCAGGCTGATGGGTTAGATAGAAAAACTGGGGCCTAATAAAGAATCTAGGGCCAGCCTGGGCATGTGTGTTGGTGCTGGGGACTGATACACAGAGACAGATGTGCCTCTATAAAATCCAAAAGATGATTTCACCTTGGCTTTTGGAAGATGGCCACTGATCATTGATTGGCAATATCATTTCCGTCTACTGGCTGAGAAAAAGCAGCAGCTTCAATAGGAACAATGACAAGACAAGGTAAATATAGGGCCCACAGGTTAAAAGAAAGAGAAGAAGGAAAAGTAAATTCGGCTTAAACTCTCAACACTTGCAAAGATGGAACCAGCAAGATTCTTTGAAGGGCTGGTTCAGCCATGATCATGAAGCCTGGCTGGTGTCTAACCAGCTTTGAACAGTTTCTGAACATGGGTCATCTAGAATCAGGTAAAGCAATATCCTATATATAGCCAGAATTAATGGCAGTTCTTGATTAAAAATGGATGCTACCAATGCTAATAAAAGGCATAGGAGTAGAAGTGATCACAGTTTTATAAAAAATTAATATTTGAGAACTTTAATACTTTGGGCACTGAGAGTGGTTTGTGTTTTCTTTTTTCAGGGACTTAGTGATAGCAACTGCAAATATTTAAGCAGTATGTCAATGTGACCAAGCATCACGCTAATAATTCTGTATGAATTATCTAATCTACTTTGCACAGCAGTGTTGCTTTGCAGATGAGAGCTGATCCTCAGAGATGCTAAGTAAATTTCCCAAGTGCAGTGGAGAAGCCTGAGTTCAAGCGGAGGCAACACAATTCCAGGGACCACGCCTGAAGCCTACAGGTCACGTGTTTACACTATGGGTCATTCCAGCAAGAACCAGTGGGACCAGGGTCCTCACCAGGCCTGAGTCAAGTTCTAGGAGACACTGCCCAGAAATTCAACACTACTCACAACGGGTTGCTCAGAAGTCAGAAGTTGAACCTGGAGGGGCAGCTGGTGGGAGGTGAAGAGAGAAGATACCAGGGTGACAGCCTTAGGTGAACACTCAAGAGGGAGACATGAAAAGGGAAAGATGGAAAGAGACTGGGGCAGGGATCACAAGGCAGACAAAATGGAAATCCAGGGAAGGGCTGGGGCAGAAAGGGAAGGGTGGGAGCAGACTCCCTTGGAGAAGAGAGTGCACCATTCATTCCCCAGGGAGGGAGTGTTGGCTTTAGTTTTGTCAGAATTCCTTATATTTTCCTCCAGAAGTGACTTCTTTTTTTAGATCTCAATGTCTTCTTTTATAAAATGCAAGTCACCAGGCTAAAGGATGAGTAGAGATGAGGATGATGCCCTTGAAGTTCCTCTCAGTTTAATACACTTTAGATCGATTTCTTCCTGATTATAGGCCCCTCTCCTCCCTTTTCATAGAGCATGTGTGTTCCTTTAAAATGTAAATCTTCTCCCAGTCTCTTTTCAGTTTTACCACCAGGAAAGGTCTTTCTTAAGGATGTGGGAACCAAGCCTTTGAAGCGTAATCCTCAAGGAAAAAATGGTGCCTTTTTCTGCTAGTCTCTGTGCCAATCAGTAAACACAAGTGGTCTAATTAAACTGACCCATCACCTATGTAAGCGCCTCTAGCATCTTTCTCTCGTGCACTTACAGATTCTCCTGTCTTTGTTTCTGCAGGGCTGAGTTTAGTTTCTCTCTCTTACTCCAAGAGTCTTGACCTCACTGGATTAGTTATGGGTAAAGTCTTTCTTGCCTGTTTAACTCATCAGGGACAATTTTTCTTTTACAGGGACCCTGAACAGGAGAATTTTTTCCTCCTGAATCCAGGAAAGTGTCTCCAGAAACCAGGGATCAGAGTTCAGTGGAACTCTGAACTAAAACTTCTGAAATAACGTGGGAAAGAATATCCAGGACGCATTAGCATAGTGATGAACATTAACACAAAGAAGAGGAAGCGATGGAAAGATGACGTGTCTTGCTTTGGCTCCAGAGATATCCCGGGGCACAGACCAGCAAGGTGACAACAGCAAGGATACCCTTGCAACCAGAAAACAAGATGCCAGGTCATGTCGATTTTGTGAAAACCAAGCAGAAGGTGGTCTTACTTTTCCAGAGCAGCTATTTCTCAAGCTTGGTTTGTAGACAAGCCATCTGTGCTTGGACAAACTTCTCCTGTGATCTTAATGCAGCTGGTCGAGAAGCCCTGCTCTGACATCAAGAGGGAAGGACGGTAGTCAAAAAACATGGTGTGGCCAGTGTGGAAAGAAACAGAGGTAACCCACTTATTTCTCAACCCCATGTCCACAGCAGCACTATCTACAGTAGCCAAGACATGGATGCAGCCAAAATGTCCATCAGTGGATGAATGGCTAAAGAAGATGTGGTACATTTACAACGGAATATTACTCAGCTACACAAAAGAAGGAAATAAAGTCACTTGCAACTACACGGATGGACCTAGAGATGATCATACTAAGTGAAATAAGCCAGAAAGGCAAATATCCTATGATATCACTTATATGTGGACTCTAAAAAAATGATACAGATGAACTTATTTATAAAACAGAAGCAGACTTACAGACTTTGAAAACAAGCTTACGGCTCCCAAAGGGGGATAAGGGGACAGTGATAAATGAGGAGGCTGGGATTAACAGATGCACACTACTATATAAAAATAGATAACCAACAAAGACCTACTGTATAGCACAGGCAATTCTACTCAACACTGTAATAATCTATGTGGGAAAAGAATCTGAAAAAGAAAGGATATGTGTGTCTCTGTAATTAAACCACTTTAATTAAACACCTGAAACTAACACAACATTTTAAATAAACTATACCCCAATATAAAATAAAAACTCCCCCAAACCACCAACCAAAAAAAAAACAAAAACAAAAAACACAGACACACACAACATGGTGTGGCCAGCGTGGAAAGAGACAGATGACATGGTATTCTTAATTCTCACCCATTGCCACTACCAAGAGAGAATGGGGCTGCAGGCATTCAAGTCCTCTTCACCGTGAGGATGTGCTGAAATCAGCTGTCTCCATAGACCTTCGCTGGACCCCTGGTAACTGACCAGGGCTGCGCTCAGGGCAGAGGGTACAAGAGGGGAAATGCAGCCCAGATCTCAAGAGGATGTGCTTCCACATTTTGACTTCAGTAACACGCTTTTCCCAAAATGTAGGAAACTCTGCTTCCCATCTGGAAAGCATCTCGTTATTATCTATTTGAAGCTAGAACCTATGTAATTAGAGGAGGAGCAGGAGCACTTAAATATCATAACTCCAGACTGAGTTTCAAAAAGGTCAAGAGAGCTTGCCATTCCACTGTGAACAATAAAGTAAACAAAACAAAAACAAAACTGGAAACCTGGAACGATTCTGAAGCTCCATGACAGCAAAATTGACAGCTTTGCTTCGTGAAACCATCTTGGGAGATTCTAAGTTTGTTTTGACATCCTATCTTGATCTCCTGTAATTTTTTTTTTTCTTGCCATTCCTATACCTTGACAGGCTTTCAAATGGAGATGTTTAGGTGAAAAGAAAAAAAAAAAAAGTCTGAAGCATTTACAGCTTCTAATCATTCTTCAAAGAACATGGCATTTTAGCATTCTTGAAGTGTTTTAAATGTTTCCAAAGAGGTCTGCTTTGGAGATGACTGGTGGTTGGTGCGTGGAGAAGAACGATTAATTTGAAAATCTTAAGTGCTCTTCGGGTGTGCTGGAATTTTTAAGTGCACCGTTTAAGGTACTTGGTTTCTGCATTTGAAGGAGATTTAAAACTATTTAACCTTTCTTAGTTTACAAGAGCTCAAGTGTACCACAGTGGATTTTCTTGTCTCCAGTTGCTGCAGTAGTGGGGTATAAGAGCAATTAATCATAGGAAGAAACCAAGAATTCACCAAATGGCGAATAAAAATGCCGAAAGGCAGCACAGGCCCACCTGACTCTTTCCAAGAAGCAGGGTGTGTGTGTGTGTGTGTGTGTGTGTGTGTGTGTGTGTGTGTGTAGAAGCAGGATGTGTGTGCGTGCGCGCAGGCGCGTGCGCGCGCGCGCGTGTGTGTGTGTGTGTATAAAGTAGTGACTGAGACTAAATGCTATTAATTTTCTGCCTATATAGGAAAACACAAGATAATTTCTTAGGAAGCACTTGTCAACAACATAATTATGTTAAGCCATTAGCATAATGAGCCGAGATTTCACAAAGAGTCTCTGAGCAGTTGTGAGAAGCTTGGTTGGGAATGTATTCACTGTGGAGAACAGCATGTGTTTTTTAACCTCTGGTTGGTGTTGTCCATTCACCATTCCCCTGGGGTCCTGGCCTCCCACTCTCCATACCCAGGCTAGGAATCTGGGAGCCGTGTACCCTGACCTCCAGACGCATCACTGGACCACAACCCTAGCTGGGAGTCAGGGCCTCCAAACTTCCAAGGCAAAATCAAAACCAAAGGAGAATACTCCCATGCTAACATCGCACTTAAAGTTCATGGAGGGCTCCTGAATGGTGGCTCAGTCAGCTTCCGGGGATTCTCTCAAGTTTTTTGATTGTGGCCATTTGAAAATAATCTGAAAATGATGGTGAGGGATACTTGTGAGACAGAAGAGCTAGAAACGGCAGACCATGAGGGGTATCTCATAGACTGCTATGAATTCCATGGTGTTATGCGTCCATCAGTGTGAAGTTGTTTCAGGTTAATGGTTCTCCTAGATTTCTCATCATTGTGCATGTCTCAAAGACTGTGCATGCAAACCTGAACCAGCTCTATCAGAAGGTCACTATTCACTTGTAAGAAAAACAAAATAGGGAAACGTAAAGCGATGCACGCACCTAGCTACTTGGAAATGAAAACTTTCTGAGGCTCTTTTTCCTTAACTGCAAAACATTAAAAAGAAATAATAAAAATAAGCAATAATTAGTGTTTATTGAAGGCTTATAACTTGCTAGCACGATTAGAATATCTTTGTGTATATTAATTCTTAATCTTTGCAATAACTTGCAATACAGGTACTATGATTAGACTAATTATGAGATTATCTCTCAAAGGAGGAAACAAATAACTTACCCCGGATCACACTAAATAAAGTGTGAAGTGTTAGTTGCTCAGTCATGTCTGACTTTTTGTGGCCCCATGGACTGTAGCCCAGCAGGCTCTCTGTCCATGGGATTTCCCAGGCAAGAATCCTGGAGTGGGTTGCCATTTCCTCCTCCAGGAGATCTTTCCAACCCAGGAATGAAACCTGGGGTAGATTCTTTACTGTCTGAGCCATATACTAAGAATTTACCAGAGCAAGAACTGAAACAATTAATATTATAATTATCTGACAATGTAGTTTTAAAGAATAAATCATAATATTAAATGCAAGAAACAGCCAACCTTGGTTAAATACTTGGCTTGTACAGGTGCCTCAGTAACTGATTTTATATCAATGATCAAATTTAAAATTACAACAGTTCACCGAGGGGGGTGAGAATAACATTCTATTATCACTTACATTTTACAGATAAGGAAACTGAGGGTAAGAACTGGGTTCAATCAAGAACCCCAGGCACACGACTCGCGACAACAGTATGGTTATTTCAGCGGGAACTCCTGACTTTGTGGCTAACCCAGTGATTAATAACATTCACCCCATCATCATGGGCTTCTCTGGTGGCTGACAGTAAAGAGAATTCACCTGCAACGTGGGAGACCTGGGTTCGATCCCTGGGTCAGGAAGACCCCCTGGAGGAGGGCATGGCAACCCGCTCCAGTATTCTTGCCTGGAGAATCCCCGTGGACAGAGGAGCCTGGCGGGCTACAGTCCATGGGATCACAAAGAGTCGGACACGACTGAGTGACTCAGCGCAGCACAGCATGTCGTCTTTAGTTCAGGGAACTCAAGAGAGTGCGCTGACCATACAGCTGGGACGGAAGCCGCAAACTAGGGCGGCACATAAACCCATTCAGTACTAACTACCTGCTTTGGACAGCTTCCCGGTACTCCTGCTACTGGACGTGCTGTCAGCCCTGCTGAGCACCGTGATGCCCCCGAAACTCGCCGTCTTGGTCATGGCCGGCTTGAGGTTGCGGTTGGAGCTGTCGGAGTCTGTGCTGCTCCAGGCCCTCTGGTGGTCAGACCACTTGAGTTCATTCTCGGAGCTGCTTTGCCTGCTTCCCGAAGTTCTTCCTGAGCCATCTCGGTTGCCCCTGGAGCACGGCCACCGGAAAGATGCATGGGGCAATGTTAGACGCCGTGAGCAGAACGGACACCGAGTGGGGTGGTTCTTGTAAGTATCATCTACGCAAGAGCCTTCTTGTCAACCCTTCCCAGGGCACCTGCTGCCTCCAGGGACACCACACACCTCACTGATGTACACACAGGTAACACGTCACACAGAACGCTCATGTTACACACAGAAAAACCGAACTGAGAAATGTCACAAAATCCCTCTGCCAGTGAAGGAGAAATGAGAATAGGATATAAAATATAATTGGTAACTTCTCTCATGCAGAGGAGAGAGGGGGTACATTCTCTGGACCCAAATCAATCGTGAATCAATGTTTGAGAGCAATTATGATGTTGAATGAACCTAAAAGCAACTCCCACTGAAAAAAGAGCTCTGTCTTTCTTTTGAGCATTAAGTAATTGGACCACAGAAAAATGGAACACACAGTTCCAAAGAAGCCATTTACTAATTTAGTTTCTAACTTCATGAGAGATATAGATCTGCATTTATTAAGGCTTTGGCAGATGGCACAGAAATCACAGGAATTCCTCTATTAACTTATGGTGAGAATTCTGCCCAGTGAGTTTAACCTTCATGGGCAGAGGAAAGAGCCCTTTATCCCTTTCACATAGAAAAACGTGTGATAATGACAACAACAGTGCAAACACTACACTGACATGAGACTTTCCAAAGAGATCAATGGAAATAACAAAATAGCTCCATAGGTGAAATGACACATTTGTTCAAAATTCAAATAGAAAAAGACTGAATTTACTGGAACAGATCCAATAGCCAGAAGTCAATTTTGAAGACTTGAGAGCCTTTCTCAGCAGTGTGCAAAGCTGCATGTATTTTACAGAGGAATCTGATGAAATTTGCATTTTCATTGGTTTCCAATTGCTTAAAGAATAACTTGGTTACTGTTTTCAAAGCCTTTTCTGCAGTTGGAAATTATGGATCATCAAAATATTCTAAGATTCTCATGGACTATAAATAAGTAAAGAGGACAAAAACCATGGGCAATACATATAACCCCTAATTTCATATCACTGTGTGATGTGACATAAATCTGGATCCAAACCTCTAAGATGTGAACAGTAGCTTTATTAATATTCTTCTAAAGACAATCATGGACTGTTGAGATGCTAAAAGTACAAAGATCTGACTGAAACACTCACCCACCATAATGTACAGAAGGCATACAGAAAATTTCAGATTTTGCCTTAACTTTTTCTTTCATTTCGTGAAAACTTAAGAAGGTCAATGAATCCAAGAGATAATAAAAACAAAACAGCTAGTTTGTCATGAAGATTTTGCACAGTGAAGGGAGGAAATGCAACAGAAAACTCACAAAACAAAGCACTCAGTGCCCGGCTCTCTTCTCTGAATGTTCTCCTACAAACATCCTCTCTGTGTTCAGCACCTCAGAGATGGGCTAGTTTTAGAAACGAGGACTGTTTAAGAAGACTATTTTATGAGCAGGAAGTATCAGACACTCACCAAGAGCCAGGTGACTTTAGTTCCTAAACACCTATGAAATTCAAGTAGCCCAGAGGAGACTGAGTAGAGAAAATCTGATTATTTCCCTTTCAATCTCTAAATTCAGATTCAATCTTTGCTCATATAACTCTGATTAATCTGACCCACCCTTGACAAAGCCCAACTAAAGTTTTATTTAGCAACAGTGAATGTACCAGGGATGTGACAATAATCTCACTTGTGGCTAACATAGACTATTTATTATAGGAAGAGATCTGAGGTGGTCCTTAGCATACAGGATGTGTCAGAAGGCAATTCTCCATACGGGGGTGATCATCACTAATTCTGCTTCAATTATTCTCTCCATATCAACTCTTCACCTCCACCGGAGGAATTCAGACTTCCTCTAAATGCCAGCATGGCTGACCCTTTCTCTGCAAAGGAAGTGTCGGCCACCATTCCTCAGAGCATTTTGGCATGTTTCGAAAACACTGGGTAGCTCTTCTAAGACTCATTTCATCCCCTGGCCAATAAGGCAACCTAAGATTTCCTTAACTTCTACCTTCACTCCACTGGCTCAAATCCTCAACCCAAGTTAAGATCTGTAAATTTATTTTAAAAATGGAATTTAAGTTTTTGCTTTAGAGAGTTAGCATTAATGAGATTTAAAATGATCAATTTATGGTCTCTAGATACTGATACCAGGAAATCATCTTTTTTACTGCTCTATCCATCTTTCACCTTAATACTGGCAGTAAGGTCCAGAGTTGAACTGCATATATCTACTTGGGTGTGGGATCATAGGTATTATATCCACAAGCGCCTTCCCATCACTCCTAAGCGCAGTCCTGATTCCCTTCTAACTGGGAATCAGGAAGATGATGATAATGCGATATCTGGTCACCAAGAGGTGCTGGCCCTCTTGTATGTAACTATATAGAATTTGACTCCAGACTAGTCAGAGGGCAGGTACTCTAAGTTCTACTTTCTATGCTGAGTAATGTAACTGATAATTTTTATTTTCCTTCATGTCTGAACATGGCTTTTTTTTTTTTAAACAAAGTTAGGTATGATGTAGACTTTGAATTACTTTCATCAGTGTGTGGATTGCTTTGTACTAAGTCACATTCCGAAGTTTCTGTGCTTGGAAATTTTGGTGGGTTATAGCATCTATATTTGCAATGGCTGACCTTAGTAGAAGGTAGTTCTGGTTAGGGACCCAGATTTGGGGCTATCTTTGCAACCCCATGTACTGTCCATGGAATTCTCCAGGCCAGAATACTGGAGTGGGTAGCCTTTCCCTTCTTCGGGGGATCTTCTCAACCCAGGTCTCCTGCATTGCAGGTGGATTCTTTACCAGCTGAGCCACAAGGGAAGCCCCCAAACTAAATGCCTCTAGGGGTTAAGAATTTTATCTCTACTGGTCTCAACAAACCAAGCCATGGTGTGTGACTGCATGAGCACTGGTAAATCACAGTCTTTTCCTGGGCTTTCAAGGGAAAAAATTCAAGGTTATTTTCTTAATCTTCAAGTATGAAAATAAACTGTCTAATGATACAAGAGAAAGGTGTTAGAGATGTTGTTCAACATAGAAAAGTAAAAGCTTAAAAAAAATAGATCCTGTTTTTTGTTTCTGCCACAGTGTAAAGAGAAGAAATGAACTTTTCTGATGTTGGGGTCATAAGTTCAGATTTACAGCAAAAAGATATATTCAAAGCCCAGAATCCATTTACTTTTTTTTTTTTTTTTTGGTATTTTCTTCCTTCTAAATGGTCAATAACTTTTATTGTTTGGTTTGTTTTGCCTTCCCTAATAGTCATAAAAACACTAACATATTAAATATATGTGTGAGGTATTCAATATACACACACATATATAATCATATTATTTATATATATATATATATATATATACACACAGCACAGTATATCCACTTCCCTACAATGGATGATAGAGATACTTTTAATAAAGTGATGAGAGAATGGCTATAGACCCTTTAGTTCTCTGGCACTCTCCAGCCTTGTATAAAACTTTATATATGTTTACATAAAACTTTATATATGTTTATATAATTACATATATATTACATATGAAACTATATGTATCTATTATAAATACACACATTCCCCTTACCCTACACAGATCTAGATTTTATGTAATTCAATATAATTGGAGACAATCCCATATCTTTCTTTAGAAATAAAATCTGTGCTTGAAAAAATGTTATTTGAAATATCCTGATGGATAGTAGTGGCTAAAAATCATCTACTCAAATAGTTATCCTGGATTTGCATTCTAGTATTGGGAACATGTACACAATTGCAACCTGCCAGAGAAATATTAATTCAGTGTAATTTAGCAAAGTTGATTTGGGAATGTGAAGTTGGTGTACTCCCAAAGTCAGCCCCAGAGAAAAACCCAGAGAATCAGAGGAAGAATCCTACAAGACTATAGACCAAGCCGTGGTTTGCCAGTCCTGTGTCTTACAGGCCCCAATAAAGCTTCAAAGCTAGCTCGGTAACAAGCTTTACAAAGAAATAACCAAACATATTTCCTTTCATGAACAGAGATAGTTTACACTAATACACTTATAGTCAACATTGATTCTGGCACATAATCTGAAAACACAGTTTTAAAAAAGGAAACCATACCAACCGAAAGAGCTGTCTTTTCTTATAGGTCTCACTGCATATGTTACTGTCTTCCAAGAGCCTACTGGAAATGAAAAACATGGTTTTTATGATATGAAATCTAAGGGTACTAAATGCCCTATGTCAAATGGATGTGAACCCACTACAGCACACCTGTCTTGCAGATCAACCCCATAGGCTATGGTTTATTTGCCTGATGTTGAATTCTGCCCTTATAAATGAATGGCAGCCTGATTTGTCCATGTCCTAGGATTAACGCACTAATACTAGACAAGGGAGAAAGAAGGGAAGAAAAGACAGAGGGAATGGGAGGAGAGGAGAATCAAAGTAACTGACACAGATATAATAGATATTTAAGTAATTGAATGTATCAGTTGTGATTTTTCTCTTTGGATAATATTAAAATTATTCTTTATTTCTGGGGCATAGTGAAATATGACCTTTCAAAGGCAGGTACTCAAGAAATATATTTATTTTTGTAGAGAATCTACTCAGATTTTTGCTTCTGGGACTGTCAAGACTTCTTAACATATGCAATGAGTATTAGTGACCAATTATATGAATATACTCCAATTTGAATATTAGGGACACAAGTGCACTAGCGGTCTTTTTATACAACACACAAATAAATGATTACGATTAGGGAGTAAGCAGGGAAAATGACTGGCCAGAAGACTAGGGAACGAGGGTCCTACTAAACGGAATTCTAAATGCTCATTTCATCTTCTGGGTAAGGACAGAGAATTTTGGCCTCAGAATCGTACCTAAGATGTTAAAACTCAGGGATTCTGAATTTACTGTAAATACAGAATATTTGTTGAAATCTGTATGGATTTTTGAGGATGCTTTTAGATATCTTGTAAAGACTTGCTCACTACTCTCATCCCTTTTTCTACAAGAGGTTGTTCAACTGAGGGTAGTTACTTGAAGAGTTCTAACTGCTAATATGAATGATGGCATTTTTTAAACCAATCCTCTCTAATGTTCAGATTTTCTAAGTACTGGAATTTAATCAAATAGCCTCTGTTTTAATCAATTTTATAGGGGTGCCTATTAAGCCAACACCTGAAATGAAATTAACCACCCCTTTTAAAATGGAAACCGTATTTCCAATCCAAATTGCCCATTGTGATGTATGTTAATGTGATCAGTACAGCTAATGTGGAATTCCTTAATTCCCCTTGAAAATATGCAATTAAACTAATGGAGCATTTTAATATCTATATCAGTTTAGAACTATTTTTAGAAGGTACATGCTAAATTTGAAAACCTCTGCTCTTATACACAAGACTTTGTATAAATGTTTTAACCCATTCATGTCATAACCATCCCTTCCCCTACTAACACCCAGCCAGATACACTCTACAGACTAGATCAGTTTAGCTAAGTTTTCTAAGTTAGGCCTTTTATGAAAACCAGTAGATTATTTAGAATGAGAAACATAAAACAACATTATTCAAATTATTATCTGTGTAGCTACATACAATGAAGGGGCACACGAAGTGGTTGATAATACCATATACACAAGTGATTTTAGCAGCCTATTCAATAAGCCAATGAAACTGCAAGTTCCTGTCTCAACAGTTATACTTTTTAATGCCTGGGGAAGGTAACAGAATTATATCTTTGTTAGGACCAGAAGTTGAGACTTCAAATAAGGAAACCGTTGAAAGCTATGTTTGGAAATAACTGAGAGGACTTTTTTCCTAAATAAATAGCTTCTGGATATGCTAAATAACATATATGTGAGCATATATATGTGTGCATGCATAGATATATGTATTTACACATATATTCAAGCACACACTTATATATGGCATATATATATATGAATAAACAAGACACACAGGACAGACTCTGTTCTTCTAAAGACATGAAAAAGCAAATTTCATTTTACCTGTTTTCCACAAAGAGGCTTTCCTGGGAGCAAACTGACTGAAAAACAAACAAACAAAAAAAGGCATTGGATCAGAAGTTCAGGATACGCTGAGGGAGCCCAAATCCTGGCCTGATTTTCAAACTATTTTTTCCTCCAAGAGGAAAAAAATTAAGAAAACTGTGCAGCATTTTTAGTAAAAAAAAAAAAGAAGAAGAAGAAGGAAAACAAAAAGGTTAGAGTTGGAAGTGTCAACTTTCCCATCACGGTGTCTCCAGGTTTCAGAGAGATTTAGCCCAGTCAACATCAAGTCTGAAGAAGAGAGGTGCTGTGAATGAAACTGCGGCAGACGCCTGTGAGCTACAGGCCCTGAGCTAGCGGGTTCCTCGGGCGGCCAAGACCCAGCCGCCATCTTGGACCGGAGGCCCAGGGTGGACGAAGGCGGAGCGCGCAGACGTGGCGCCATCCGCCTGCTGTGAAACCACAATCCTGAAGCTAGGATCGGCCGATGAACTCTCACAACGTAAACACATGGCCCGTGAGACTCTCAAAACTGAAGAGATGTCCTCAACCAATGACGGCGGGGAGTTAGCAGAGTAGGGAGGGAGGAGCTCGGAAAACAAGTGAGAACAAAATGAAGCTAATCGGAAAAGAATGGCAAACCCATCTAATAACATCTCAGCTTTTCACACAAAAAAAACCAAACAAAACAACAAAAAAAACCCAAAAACCCAGTCACTTTCCTTTTAGCTTCCCTTCTCTAGTATTCATGTCTCTGCTATCTTGAGTTTAATATACAACGTAAGGAAGATAAAATTCCCGTTATCTTAGGTGATGGGGAAAGGCGAATCAAATTAAATTTTAACAAGCAAAAAGAGAAGTCTTAACAAAATATGGTACAACAGTCGTAAAATACAACTATGCTTAGGAACTAACATAAAATCATTTTCAAAGCACTAAGGTTTTAACCACAAACACAGATAACATGTGTGGATTTTCTAAATAATGAGTAAGTTCCCCTCCTAAAGGGATCAAAGAGACTGAATATGCTCATTTTTAAGAAAAAATAACATAAAAATTAAGAAATAATAATGACCTTTCAATATAGAATTTTTGAATTAAAAATGCTATTAATGTAACCACCTCTCAGAGGCAGGCAGGATGTTGGTTTCTTGCTACATTTTACCAGAGAGATCATTTCCTTCCATAAGCTGAAGGACTAGATTTGGGCATAATGTATTTTTTTCAGTGGTCTGAGCATTTTAATGAGGGCATCTCTAGAATCACTTCTGTTTTAGCCCCTATGCATTTAACATGCATCCTGAAGATGAAGTGTGCAAAAACTTTGTAACAAAAGGCAACCACAGCCAATTAAGCAACAGGCTTTTCAGAAAAATACCTTTAAAGTAATTTGATATTTAATTTTATAAGGGGAAACAAATACAGATGATGTGCCCCAGACATTATTCCTAGGAGGATCTCTTTAAAGAAAGCTAAATATCCCATTGTTTGTACTTCCTTTAGTTGGGTTTCCCAACCGGTTTGAGTCAAGTCTAAGCCAAGTCTTGGTATATGAACAAAGTGAGACTAGGCCAGATATACATGATGAATTTAATACTTTGCTACGTCTCAGTTCTTGAGATTGGAAAGAGGTCAATTACATTTAGGATGTTCTGGCTGATTCTGAATAACTGAGACTTGACTATGTCTTTGAAGGAGTTATCAAACACATGCTGACCTCTTTGGACTTGTTCATCTAATAGCATTTGGTAAGGGAAGCAGCCCAAACTCTTTGAACTAAAAACTAAGGCACATGCAAATTAAAGATGATGCTCTCTAAAAACCCATCTCCAGAGCATCTTCCTGATTTTTGTGGAAAGGTCCTAAAAAAAAAAACAAAAAACCATCTCATCATCCATCCACTACACTTTTCATAAAGACAAAGACAATTATGGGTTATGATTCAGTAACTGATGAAAATGTATGTGCATGCATGTGCATGTGTGTATTAAAAGAAGCATTAATAACTTACAAATTTTAATAGAGAAAGATAAAATTATCACAGTAATTAAGCCCAGCATTCAGAGCTGTGAGGTATATGCATTCTCAGATATATACATAAAGGGCTTTTTTGAAAAGAAGAAAAATGTTTTTGCCTAATGGGTTATAGAATTCTCTTCCACATGCTACCCCCAAGCCAGGTGGTACCTCACACCCTCGTCATCAGCTCCCCATGGTGAAAACCAAAGATGAAATCTTCCTCGAATCCCTATTTACACATAAATATCCTTCAAAAATTACCCCCTAGGCAAAACAGGTCCTTCTCAAATATATTGCTTTATCTACTTAACCTTCCCTAAGGAAGCAACATTGCATAGGATTAATCATAAAATAAGTTGACATGCTTGCCAAAAGGAAAGAAGTTATATTTCAAATATTTCTGATTTCAAAAGTACACTTGTTTATTATTTGAGAACTAAATTGTTGTGTGCTCTGAATTAAACATTTCAGTTCTCAAATAGCAGATGAATTGGTCTGATTTCAAGATATCCAAATTCTCAAACTATATTTGAAAAGCCTTTTCTAGAAAATCCCCAAATAAATCTGCATATTTGGATTATGCACCTATGTACAAAAGCACACACACACACACATACATGCATCCCTTAGCCATCAAGATACATTTGTAAAATATTCAAGAACACTTCTAATTTTAAAAGAAATTTGGATTTTGCTTAAGTATATACATGAGGAAGTATTTTTCTATAAATGCCTATTGTAACTTCAAGTAGAAAAAATAATCCTACTTAAGTATATCGACATTTGAACCTGTTTGAACTACTCTACGACTTAATAACTGACAAAGGAAGCTGGTTTTATTACCTCTGTTTTTAAATTATGTGGATGCTAAATTAAAGACCAGCTTGAAAAAATTATACATCTATAACTTAATTTCCTTATGCTGGATTCCTTGCATTTGTTTTATAAATGAGTTAATATACTTATTGTCTTGTGTACCTTAACAATTTGGGTAGTAATGATCATTTGGGAATCTGGAATTATACAGATAAAGGCTCCCGAGGGGGTCCTGTCTTTATGTTACCATGTGTATTCGAGAAAGTTCATATTGCTGCTGCGCCCTTGAGTTTGTGTTTAACAGAGAATATGGTAATATCCTGTTAATACAGGGTGGCCTCCAGGGACCCTTGTCTGTGTGGTACCACCCACGTGCGGCAGAGCTGGTCTGTGTGTCTGAAAGAATAGAGCAGAAGGGAATACATGTCACTTCCAAGATCAGCTTACAGTACCGTGGCTTCCATCTGGGACCCTTTTTCTTTCCCTCTCAGATCACTTGCTCCAGGGAAGGCTAGTTGCCATGCGTGAGGACACCTGCCAGCCTACAGAGAGCCCCACCTCACTATGTGAGAACTGAGATCTCTAGCTGACAGCCAGCCAAGAACTGAGGGCTGGCGATACGTGAGTGATTCCTGGAGTAGACCACTGCACCAAATCTGCAGATGACTCCAGCCGAAACCGACAGCCCGGCTGCAGCCTCAAGAGACCAGGAAACAGAATCACTCAGCGAAGCCGCTCCCACATTCCCGAGTCCTGCACACTGTGGGATGAGAAGCTTTTTGTTTTCCTATTTTAAGCTGCCTAATTTGGGGACCACCAGTAGTAGTGTGACTGCATTGTGTCTACAAGAGCTATCAGACAAGGGAGAGAGACATTTGGCATTTTATTTCCCTCTAGGACAGTGGCTCATGGTCGTTCAAGTGTCATGAAAACTTAGAATATGATAAACACTAGAGAGTTTATCCTTAGAAAAATGTACATATGCTCATGAGTGTAATATTTTACAGGTGATAACAAGGATTTTCAGTCATCTCTGAAGCCCTTCATGAGTACACTCTGGGTTGTTTTTGTCATGCTTAGTCACTCAGTCGTGTCTGACTCTGCAATTCCATGGACTGTAGCCCGCCAGGCTCCTCTGTCCATGGAATTTTCCAGGCAACAATACTGAAGTGGGTTGCAATGCCCTTCTCCAGGGGATCAGTTGGATTTGATCCCAACCCAGGGATCAAACCAACGTCTCGGGCATCTCCTACACTGGTAGGCAGATTCTTCCCCTGAGCCACCTGGGAAGCTCTCTGAGTACTGAAAGCCGATTAAAAAACCTACCACCCTAGGAGATGAAGTGAAAATCAGCATCAGAAACGTGTCAGTTTCCCACCTGAATTAGTAGAACCAGAAGTGGTGGCCGCTAGAGTGTCTATCAAAGGTGTTTACACCTCCTCTCCCACAAGGAGAAGCAGCTACAGCATTGCAGAGAAGGCTGAAGAAGTATTTCATGGAATAAAAGGGCTATGACAACGGCTTTGCATTCAGGCTGTCTCACATTTAGGTCTGCTTTTACTTGTTAAAAAAAAAATACAGCATGTGGCCACAGAGGCTTTAAACAGGAACCCTTGCCTCCAATCTTCAGCCTGGAACCCAGGTTCCTTACTTTTAAATCTCCTAAACAGGGATGTGAGGAAATGCAGTGTGGACTAGGAGTCAGGCTGACCCCTCCTCCCTTCGATGACCTCCTATGGGCATGAGAATACAAAAATGAAGGATAGCAGGGTAAGTGTCACCCCCATCACAGGCATGCAGCAGTGATGCTAGTTCCTGTCGACTGGCTCTTGAGTGTCTGGCAACGTGACAAAGAAAAAAAGCGTAATGTTGTTTGTACATTATGTGGGTGACTACTCTTTGCTTCATAATGTAACAACTCATTCATAAACTATACGGCTTGCCAGAATTAGACTAAGAGGGAGAATGTGTGTATATGTGTGTGTGTGTGTGTGTGTGTGTATGAGAGGGAGAGAGAGAAAAAGAGAGTAGAGAATAAACTCTCTTTCGGAAAAATTTCTCATCTTGAAGGTCATCAGACAGGAATACTCTATCTCCTATCCAAATAGGTTTATTACAGTATTATGACTAGAATAGAGCCTCTCATTACTATGTTCTTGTATCCAGCAAACACAAGGAAAGGTCTACCACGTGTCAGGCTGTCCTTTGCACCATCAAGAATTCTGACCATAATTAAAGGATTTTCTAGAATCTTCTAGAATTGTCCCTGGACATCATTCAACAATGGCTACCTCACCTCCTTCTCTCACACTCTCCTAATTTGCAAGCTTTGGACCAGGCTATTCAATTCAAAATTGTATTTTAATATATCTAAGAAAGGCAGAGAGGTTCTAGAGCAGATGAGAGAAATCCACATGCATGTGAAGGAAGTGCAGAGTGTCATTTCCTCTGTAGTTCATATTAAAGGATTCAGCACAAGGTGGAAGACCAAGGAGGCTAGCTTGGGCTTAAGACCTCCAGGGATGGCAGGCCCCTTCCATGTTGAGCATGGATGCCTAGGTGTCTGCTGCTGCTAAGTCACTTCAGTTGTGTCTGACTCTGTGCGACCCCATAGACAGCAGCCCACCAGGCTCCCCCATCCCTGGGATTCTCCAGGCAAGAATATTGGAGTGGGTTGCCATTTCCTTCTCCAATGAATGAAAGTGAAAAGTGAAAGTGAAGTCGCTCAGTCGTGTCCGACTCTTCACCACCCCATGGACTGCAGCCTACCAGGCTCCTCCATCCATGAGATTTTCCAGGCAAGAGAACTGGAGTGGGGTGCCATCGCCTCCTCTGCCTAGGTGTCTAAATGGCTTTTAAAGGAACAAATCATGAGAACAAATCACACAGGAGGTCAGATGCCCATGTGACTTAGTAAAGACAGAGATGTTGGCCACAGAGAATCTACACAAAGGTGCTCCTGGCTATACCTCTGCAGAGGGAAAAACCCACAGCATTTTTTGGAGGCTGCCAAATGTGCTCATATAAGGGAAAGCCTAGAGCAACAGCTTGTCCTTTCCATTCTGTTGCATCTAAACTCAGTTTTTTTTTCACCTTTGAATTTGTACGGAATTTAATCACATTTAATTTTGGCCACAGTGAGCAAAAGAATAAAAAAAAAAAATCCCAACCACATTTTCTTTGTTGGGATATGAACAAAAGAAATTGTTTTCGGATCATTCCCTTGAAAATGGGTCACGGAACAAATTTTATCTGAAAATGGGGTGGGGGAGGGGATGAGTATCTTTGTTTACCTTTGATATAACAAAGTGTCCATACTTGCTAAGAATGCAGAAAATTCTGTGTGTGTATGCTCAATTGACTCTTCTCTTGCTTTGGAATTCTTTCTTCTGCACATTGTTGGTCTTAAGAAGAAAACCACTTGGCATCTGTTGGCTAATATAAATATGAAGAGACTTCTGCAAAGCTGGCAACCTCTCTCTGTACTTAGGGTCTATTTTATTGACCCCAAATAGGACCTCTATATTTGGGAACACACACAAACCTCTGGCTATTTTTCCATCACTTCCCTGAACCAGGTCCTCTTCCAGAAGCACCTCTGGTCCGCTGCCCTTCGGCAGCTCCCTGCCTCCAGCTTCCCTCATTCCTATCAGCTTCCGGTCTGGGGAACCAGGCTGCCTTACTGCTGACAGAGGGACCGCACTCAAGAGGCAACGAAAACAACTACTCACATCATGTGCAAATATTCTCTCCCTCACTCTCTGATACTCCTCTTCTCTCTCTTCAATTGATTTACTTCGTCTGTCATCTCTAAATGGATGCATTCTGTTTTGCTGAACAGAAAAGAGAAATCAGGAGGGTTACCCAAGGTGAGCTGTTGGAAATCTGCAGTCAAGAAAAACTGTCAGCTGAGAGTAATAAATGTTCACTTAAATAAATGGGGCTTGACAAGTCTACTCCCTCTGGTTCTGGAGAAGTCGTGGTGGGTGATGTGTGTGGGGTGTGTGCCATGTGATGGCAGGAGTGCTGTTACTCCTGGCTGTTTCCTGGTTGGATGCAAATAGCTTGGTGTTTCTGGAAGGTAAGCTCTGAATGTGCCTCAGGTATTCAGCCCCTTTGCCATGTGATGGGTTCTGGCTCCTTAGCAAAGATGTGATGCCTCAGGAGGAGGCAGAATGATGGCAAGAAAAGAGGAAGTGGCGAGTTCAAGGTGGCCATGAGAATAAATGGCTTTGAAAACTTGTGGTCAGAGAAACAGAGCAGGAAGGGGTAGAAAGAAAGGTGTGGATGCCATTTCTCTGCATCCTAATTTGTGTTGTTATTCACTCAGCGACTTACTCTGTGCATTGCAGCTGGGATAAAAGGAGGAACTGAATTCAAAAAGCCTGTCTGTGGATTAGGGTCCATATCAAGAAAACTAACAATTCAAAGAACCCAGCATGAGGACTGCTCTTCTTCTGCCTTCTATTTGAGTCACTTCCTGTGTTCCTATTGCTTTTGCATCTCATCCCTGCCATTCCTCTCCCAAACGCCCTGCACTAACCACATCCATCCATCCATCCATTCAACAAACATCCACTAAGTACACGACGACATGGGCACATGTGTCAAAGTCAACTCAAGCCATGGTGTGGTTTGGGGGTGGTGGTGCGGGGAGGAGATGAGATACACATGATGGACAGTTTTTTGTTGTGGCTTTTTTTAAAGTGTCAGAGATGCACATACTGGCTCACAGTGACTCACTGCGGGTAATTAAAATAATAACTTGAGTGTGATGCAGATTGTCTTACCTTTCAGCATTCTAAAGCAAAGTCATTTTCATAAAAGCTCTATTTTCATTGTCAGAGACAGGAAGCGTAATTGTAATGGCATTTGTATGACTTTCTATGGTTCTCCTTATCACTGAAAATGTGTTTTCTTTTGCCATTTACTTAAGTTTTCTTCATCACCCTGGAACCCACCCCCTCCACCCAGAGAAAAGTCTCTCTAGCCTTGTCGAGTTCTCGTGAATAAAGTTATTCTAGAACAATGTAATGTTTTGTCACAAGCAAAAAACAGGGAAGGAGGAAGTTCTGCTATAGTTCGTGCAAAACAAGCAAACAACTGACATGGAAGTTAAAACACGGGAAGGGGTGGGGGACTACAACATAAACTCGACTCTTTGTTGCGAAGACTTATTTTGGGAGAGTTGGCAAAATCCACCTGGCCTCACCATAACAAGGTTTGTTGTTTACAGCTACATCAGTTGATCAGCGGTCCGTATTGACAATCCAGCGCAATGTGTGCACAACGGAAGGATAAAGCTGTAGGGAGGGGAACGACTGCCAGAGTTACACAGACGCCTGGAAATGCAACTGACAAAGCTCTTCCCATCAGCTCAGAGCCTGCGGCACCCCGACCCCCCCAAGGCATGCAGCAGAGCCTGCGCCAAGCACCACCCATGCAGCCCAACACAGAGCCAGCGCTGAAGCAACCATGACGTGGCCTTTTGCTACCCACCGAATGCCAAAGGGGTAGGGACAACAGAAGAACGACAAGAACACCAGGCAGCCCACCTTCCAAAACAACAACGTCAGCCACTCTCAAACTTGAGAACCAACCTGAGTGTCTTCTTTATCAATACTAGAGTTATCTCGCTTCAAGATAAACCGCTTCTGGGATTCTTCACCTTTTTCATCTTTTAAATGTTCACAAAACCTTTGCTCTGGTCTGCCAGCAAAGTAAAACATATCAATAAAAAAAGTTTTTTCCCCTGTTTAAAGTTATTTCTTAGTGTTCTTTCTTTTTTTTTTCCCCCACAGTGGCATTCAAGAAAAAGTTTACACATGGTTTTGATACTTGAATTGCTGGCAATATATGGAGGTAATACTATGTCACTTCACAGGTACTGTTATGATACCTTTGCTTTGTTTGGAATTCAGTCTTGTTTGCTGCATGCTGTTCACCATGGTGGAAGTTAAAACAAAATTTTAAAGGCCTGAAAATATATAATGTGCATTTTCTATTTTCTATAGTTATTTTGACCTCTGTCACTCCTGAATTTCATTAAGTCCCCACCTTTATTCTGTAAATATGTTTAGAAGTTGGGATTACTACATTAAAACTAGGAGAATACTTCCTATTATATTTTCCCTTTCGAGAGCTTCTGAATGTGCAGTGAAAGAGGGCTGTCTATGAATTATTTCCATCTTTCTTTAATGACAGATGCCCTGGAATCTGGCTCCAGCAGACTGACATCCTCGACCATGTCTTGTAAATCAGTTCAGTAACTGGGGGAAACTGGAGATGTTTAGTTTAAACAACTTAATGCCTGATTAGCATGGGAAAAAATGCTCGAAGCAGTTACATGATATTGATTCGTCAATTGATTTTTTTAAAGATCCTCTTAATCATCTTGTATTATTACAGGAAAGGGCTCCACTACCCTGTTCATTTCCCACCAGTGTCCCTGCACACCAGAGAACTTGGTGAATAGCTTGTGCTTCGGTTAATCACAGAGGAAGTGCTAAAATGTCCCTTTCTAGTATAGAAGCAGTTGTAATTGGTGGCTCTCAAAAGGTGTCTCTCAGGTCTGAGGTATTACTTCTGAAGCCAGGTGGGTTTTCTGTGCTCCCCTGGGTTCAGTATGCGTTCAGTCATCAGGAAGCCAAATCACTGCATCTGTTGTTTAATATGAGTGGCCAGTAATTAAGAGAATCTCATTGTTTCCTTATAGCTCCAAAATAAGCAAACAACACTTTAAAATCAAAGGAGCAGTTTAAGTGTATAATTCAAACCTTGTTGAGAAATATTGTCTCCTTAAACACTCATATATCAGTTATTATAATACTGGGGAGCAGACGAAACCAGAAAACTGAAATAATACCAGTTATAGCTTCTGGAATCAGATGTAATTTCTGCATTCTTTCATTCAGTCTTTGCAATAAAACTTTGATGTAGGAGAAACAATTTTTTTTTTTTGCCTCTTTTACAGATAAGGAAACTATCCCTCAAGTGATTCTTGACTCCAGTTTATATATTCTTCCACTAAGCCACAGGCATCAAACAGCCTGCTTACTTCCTTACAGAGAAGTGAACAGTCTCTTTCTGCTTTCATTGTACTTAGTCGGCTGGAGGGCCTCACACCTCAGGATAAAGCACAGAAAACCTGCATCATATCATCTTCAATATTAATGTAAATGTTATCCACCAGAATTAACATGAAATAAAATATAGCAATCTGGATGTGCGAATATGACATTTTAAGATCAGAGCACTAAGGAGACAGAGTAAATTTGCACTTAATAATGAAGAGATCATTGACAGTAAAGAAATTAAATATATTTTGGTGGAGCCCAGTCACAGGACCCTTCAATTACTCATAACACTATAAAATCTGACAATATTATAATAGCATGAATAGCTACAGGCCGCTGTAAATGAGAAGAATTCTCCAGGAGGTTTTTTTAAAGCTTCCCAACATTTTTAACCACTCAGATATTGTTATGTACATATTTTTGTGTAACAAGGAAAATTTAAGATATTAACTTGAACACAAATGCTAACAGTAGCAGTGCTAATTAATCTTCTCCTAATAGCTCTGAGCTCTGAACATCTGATAAACTCTAGTCAATGAAATGATTGGAGAACAGCTAAACATACAGATCTATCTATTGTATTTGTTGCTAATCATCTGTAAATGTTCATTTAGAAATGAAATGGCACCCATGAACATAAGGTGAATTTGCTTCAGACTAAATTCTTCTTTTGGAGAAGGAAACGGCAACCCACTCCAGTATTCTTGCCTGGAGAATCCCATGGACAGGGGAGCCTCGGGGCTAAAGTCCATAGGGCTGCCAAGAGTTGGACACGACTGAAGTGACTGAGCACGCATGCAAAGTCCTCTTTCAGGAGAAAAATATTTAGAGTGAGATTTCAGCATACTAACCAGAGATGGAATGCAAGTTCCATGTGGGTAGGGATCTTGCTTTTTTAAATAGTGTATCCTTGGTGCCTAGAACCATGCCTGGCATTGGGAGGCATTCGGTTGGGTGAATAAATGACTTAGTGTATGAATGTATGAAAATTTAGCACAGCTGTATATAAGTCACAGTAACTCAGGGACAGATCAAAGAATCACTAAGATATGCAGTCATAAATTCATAAATGTTTAAATTGTAAAACAGAACAGGGTAGAGTTGGGTTAGTAGGAACATAAATTCAAATTCAGAACATTAGGAACATCTTTAAAAATCAGATTTATGTTTGACTGCAAGCTGACCAAAACTAATGGTGTCATTAAAGAAAAGGTTTTCACATTGGAGGAAAAGAGGTGGAAATGGGAATTTTAACTTTTTTAGTATGGGAACTTCTCAGTTTAAAGTGTCATTACAGTTACACAAGAGCTATTTAACCATTATTTTTGAAACTTCATTTGCATTTCTTCATAGTGCTGGCTTATTTTTATTTCACAGCAGGACATATTCAGGAAAAACACATCCATCACTTAAGCAGGGGTAGTCAAAGGAGCTTGTCTGAATCAATAATGTAAATATTATTGAGAGCAATGATACTTGTTATTCTGATATAAATTATGCAAAGGGCATCATCCACAACTGTTTTCAAAAAAATTTGTATTCAAACATTAGAAATTAATAGTACAAATAACTAATCATTTCTTGACTTACCAAAAGTGTTTTGAAAGATTATAAAGTAACCATTTGAAGTTTGCATAAAAGGAATAAAATAAACATAATAAGATTTTTCCAGGTTGACTTTATAGAGACTTATCTAGAGGTAAGGAGTAATTTTCAGTTTAAACTCACGCAAACTGTAGTTTATGACTGAAATATCACATGTGACTGCACTAAAAATTACCAGTAATGCACTATTATATTAAAGCTTTTAAAAATCCTTTTAACCACTAATTTAACATCATAGCAATATTATTTCTTAGCCACAAAATGAATGAAACTACAGTAATATGGTATGGACCTTCATTTAAAGTGGTGATGAATTACTTTCAATGGATCAAGATGAAGATGTAACTCTAAGAAAAACTCCTCAGAGCTGCAAAAGGTCACACTATTTATTAAATTAATGCCAACTAGAGTTTACTGTGTATCTCGTGGCCATGCATTTATACATGCCTGCATTTTTTAGTATATGAGCTGCTGAAGCAAGCACTACATGCCTACATTATTTTTCCTGGAAGACTTTAGTCCATGAGCTATTTCTACTGTCTATCATTCCCCAAAGCAGAGAAAACAAATCTAATTTTTCTTCTTGATTTAAAAAAAAAAAATTCCTCTTCTTAAGTTTAAAAAAAAGTATTTCCCCACAATTCATAGCAGGTATCTACTGCGGCACTCATTGTTCATGTGTAGAGAACAGCACTAGCATTTCCAGTCCGTCTTGGGATCCCCTAGTCAATCCTTCCAAAAGTTTGAATCAACTCCTCATTGTTCTTGATTAGACAGACAAAGCTCATGAATTGAGAGGGACTTCCGTGATGGCTCAGGTGTGGTAAAGAATCTGCCTGCCGATGCACAGGAGACGCGAGTTTGATCCCTAGGTCAAAAGATCCCCTGGAGGAGGGCGTGTAACCCACCCCAGTATTCTTGCCTGGAGAATCTCATGGACAGAGGAGCCTGGCCGGCTGCAGTCATGGGGTCGCGTAGAGTTGGACATGACTTAGTGACTAAAAAACAGCAATGGCTGAGTGAAACACCATTGCATAAGACTATCAAACTGTCCTACTCAACTGGTTCCAATTTTAGTTTTTTTTCTCACCTGAAGCTTAGAAAAAGATGAGCATGCTTTATTATGTTTTTTATCTTTTTGATCCAGAAGTATTTTCAGTGCTTTAGTCTCACTGCCAGCTTCTTGAAACCAGATATATTACTTTTCTTCAAGCGGTTCAGCTTAATCACTCCCCACTTCCTCCCCCAACATATACACAAATGAAGAATTCAATTCTACTAGACGCAGAGGAGCAGCAAGGGACATCTTTGAATTTCATCCTGAATAATGGAAAGATGATCATCAACATGCATACATCTTAACAAAGAAATGTGGCTGTGCATAATAGGATGAAATGTTTTATGTAACACATTCGTCGAAAATATTTTAATAGTCAAACATATTAGAGAAGTCTAAGTGGCCCTGTTCCCTTCACATGGGAAAATATTCAATTACAACATTGACAACCGATGTGCGTGCGCGCGTGTGTGTGTGTGTGTGTGTGCGCTCAGTTGCGTCCGACTCTGCAACCCCATGGACTATAGTCTGCCAGACTCCTCTGTCCATGTGGTTATCCAGGCAAGAATACTGGAGTAGGTTGCCATGACCTCCTCCAGGCACTTCCTGACCCAGGGATTGGACCCACGTCTCCTTCGTCTCCTGCATTGGCAGGTGGATTCTTCTGCTGGGACACCTGGGGAAGCGCATTGACAATTGATATTTCTTATTTATAAAAGAAAGTCCTACATTCTTCTTTACATATTTTATAATTTCCACTTTCATCTTGTCCTTTTGATTCTCTTTGAAATGAGACCACACCTTACAATTTCAGTATTCTAGCATTTAAGTCTGGAAACCAAACGCCTTCAGCCAACAAACTACAACTTCTCTTTCTCCTCTGTACCTCAATTCCATTTTTCCTAGAGCCACAGAGATATGCTCATAGCCTCTCCAGTAGCAGAAACCCTTAAGATTAACAAGACACAGGA